GTTTTTTTTTTTAAACAGTAGTCCCTCTTCAGGTTAAGGAACTCACCATTTGACAAGAATTAAGGTCGGAATTTCCCAAACGTGTTTGCTGTGGGGACAGAGGACCCTGAAGGTGAGATTGTGAACAGTTAGAGCATGGATGGTCGTTTATTTATTTGGATTTTTTGTTTTTGTTTTAAAAATTCGGGTTTTTAAACCGTAAGCCAGCAGTTGTTAGGTGAAAGCAGGAAAGTTGCAAGTTGAGCCTAGCCTAGGCATATTTGTTTTTTTTTTTCAGCTTAGGCATATTTAAAGAGATTTTATTTTATTTTTTGCCACTCATGGATACCATACTTGTAATTCCAGAAGGTGGAGGCTGGAGAATTAGGAGTTTATGCTCCGGACAGCCTGAGCCCTTAAAACCCTTTCTAGAAATGGAAAAATGTTTCTTTTTACCAGAGGAGCCCTGGCCGGAATCAGCCTCTTAAAAGGCTGGGATTACAGACTTTTGCTTCCATGCAGGTCTTGCATTTTATTCTTTTCTTTTTTGTTTGAGATAGGTTCTCTATATAGCCCTAGCTGACCTGGAACTCACTATGTAGATCAGGCTGGCCTCTAACTTAACAGCGATCCACCTGCCTCTGCCTTCCAAGGGCTGGGATCAAAGCCAAGTGCATTTTATTCTTCTGGTATTTTGTTTGTGGTGATAAAGAAGTTAAAAAGCTGCGTGCTAGTGTACACCCTCTCAAGTGAGGTCTTACTTTTCCTGTGGCTTCACCCATCTCTTCACTCCTTTGTTTAGAACCAGCTTAGTACCTAAACATCTTAGCACCTTTCTCAAATCACCTTAAACTACTAGCTTCAAAATTACTTAGGCCATTGCAGCTCAGCTTGAGTCCCCAAGGCCTCCCTGCCCACTAAATTTCTGTTCTGACTCAGTTGTTTTCTTAATTAACCCTAGTTGACTTACCCATTGAGATCATAACTGTGGTATGGAAATCTTGATGTCAGACACACACATAATCCGGTTCTCAGTCAGCCTGGAAGCTCATCTTTTCATCCTGACCCTTTTTTTCCTTCCTAGTTTTTATTTTTGGGGGGTGGGGGTTCGAGACAGGGTTTCTCTGTGTAGTCCTGGCTGTCCTGGAACTCACTCTGTAGACCAGGCTGGCTTCAAACTCAGAAATCCACCTGCCTCTGCCTCCCAAGTGCTGGGATTAAAGGCGTGCACCACCGCTGCCCAGCTTTTTTCCTAGTTTTTAATCTGCATCTTGATGGCTGTATTCAATTAAACCCCACGTTAGCCCTGGTACCTGATGTCTATAATCGCAACACTGAGGAAGCAGAGGTAGAAGTTACCTTTGGAAGTTCAAGGTCAGCATGATCTAGATAGGACATTCCAGGCCAGCCAGCGCTACTTGGGGAAACCCCATCTAAACACAAAAAAACAGTAGCAAAACTGTCTTTGCTATGTGTTTTTTTTTTTCTTTCTGATTTGTTTTAACCTTTAAGAATAGTATTTGTGGGCTGGGCACGCCTTTAATCTCAGCACTTGGGAGGCAGAGGCAGGTGGATTTCTGGGTTCCAGACCAGCCTGGTCTACAGAGTGAGTTCCAGGACAGCCAGGGCTACACAGAGAAACCCTGTCTCAAAAAACCAAACCAAACAACAAAAAAAAAAGAATAGTATTTGTGTGTATGTTTTCAACTGAGAGGTAGAGTGTGTGTGTGTGTGTGTGTGTGTGTGTGTGTGTGTGTGTGTTTTGTATTCTCACCAGTGGAGGCTAGAAGAGGGCATCCTATCCTATTCCCTGGAGCTGTAGTTAGAGGGTTTGTGTGCCACCAAGTGTGGGTGCTGGAAGATACCAAACCTAGGTCCTCTGGAAGAACTTTAGAGCAGTCCTAACCACTGAGCCCATTCAGCCTGTCTTTAACTTTCTTACTTCCCAAGCATTTCATTTTGAATTCATCTTTGATTTTGAAAATTCTAGCCTTATAGATGCATGAATATGTCACAGGACTGCAGAGATGGTTCAGTGTAAAAGGGCTTGCTGCTCAAGCATGAAACCTGAATTAAGACCCCAGCACCCACTTAGAGAGCTGGGCATATCCACACACAAACCTGTAACTCTAGTACTGTGGACAGTAGTTAGCCCAGTCTTGACTCCAGCTTCAGCGAGGAATGGAAGGGAGTGATAGAACTCTGTTGTTTGCTTAGCTGTGAATTGGGTTCTGGTTGCTGCAAGTATCCTTTTGTTTGAGAATCCTACCTTAAAGAATATAAATATAGCTGAGGGTGTAGCTCAGTGGTGAAATGCTTGCCTAGCATCCCTGAGACCTCAGAATCCTTACACTGGAAAAGTAATATAACGTGTATGTTACTTACCTGGTTACAAATGCTCTGTACCTTTTTATTTCCTGGCTTAACAAGGCTCATTACTTGACCACTATTGTATGTTTTTAGATTGAAGTTTTCTGCTTCAATCTATTCCATTAATTCCTAATGGAATCATCGCAAGCAGCTTGCAAAGTTTAACAAACATAGAAAAAGAAAATCTGTCTGCGTTTTTGAATACAGCAACATCCTTAAAACAGAATTGTTCTATATGATACTGTAAATAGAGAGAACCACCCAGCTAAGAGCCTGTCTTAAACAAACAAACCCTAAACCTGGGAGTAAAGACACCTGGCTGGGGAATTGTATTGATTGATAATTGACAGAGACAAACACAGCCCATTGTGGGTAGTACCATTCCATAGGTAGAGGGCACCATGCCTTTAATCCCAGCACTCTCGGGAAGAGAGGCAGGTGGATCTCAGTGAGTTGGAAGCCAGCCTGATCTATAGAGTGAGACAAACCAAAAGAAGAAAGGAAGAAAAACAACAGGAGGATCTTTATGTAGTCCTGTTCTTCAGCTGAGTAGGGAGACGAGGCTGGCTTCCAACTCTGAGATCTTCCTACATCTGCCCCCTACCTCTGAGAGTCCTGGGATTAAAGGTGTACACCAGCATGCCAAGCCCAAACTTCAGTATTATACTAGAGAACTTTAGAATACTGGCGCTAGGGACTGCCCTTCCAAAAACTTGGGTTCACTGCTAGGTACTCATTTGACGGCTCACACCATTTTTATTTTTATTTTTTTTTGGTTTGGTTTTTCGAGACAGGGTTTCTCTGTGTAGCCCTGGCTGTCCTGAAACTCACTCTGTAGACCAGGCTGGCCTTGAACTCTCGAACTCAGAAATCTGCCTGCCTCTGCCTCCCAAGTGCTGGGATTAAAGGCGAGCGCGCCACCACCGCCCGGCTGCAGTCTTTTTCATACAATGTATTCTGATCAGTTTCTCCTCCTTCATTTCCTTTCAGATCTTCCCCACCTCTCCACACTTCCAACTCCATCCCCTTTCTGTCTCTTTTTAGAAAATAAGCATGCCTTTAACTTGGGAAGCAGAGGCAGATAGATCTCTGTGAGATAGAGACCAGCCTTATCTACATAGTGAATTATAGGAGAGACAGAGCTACATATTGAGACATTGCCTCCAAAAACAAACAAACAAACAAACAAAAAGCAGGAGAAACATACAGACACACAAATAAAACACACACAAAAAGCACAAAATTGGAAGCCAGAAAATATAACCAAAAGTCTAGTAAGGCTAAAAAAAAAAAAAGCCCCAGATAAAGCAATATGAAACAAAACGTTTCCAAAAGTACTGTTGAGTTCATTTTGTGTAGACTGTCTACTGCTGGACATGGGGCTTGTCCTTAAATGTAGTTTGTATATCCAGTGAGACTCCACAGGAGAAACACAGGATTTTTCCTTTGTGAGCAGTTGTCAATTGGAGATCGATTCTTAGTCAGTGATGGGAGGTCATCCACTTCCCTCTAAACACTGGACCCATCTGGCTTGGACCTGCGCAGGCCCTGTGCATGCTGCCATACGAGCTCACATGCTCCTCACTCCCGCTGTCTCCAGAAGGTGGTGTCCTTGATAGCATCTATCCCCTCTGGCTTCTGCAATCTTTCCGCCTCCTCTTCCACATAATTCACTAACCGTGTACAGTTTATAAACAAAAAAGCTTATCTTGCCCATAGCTCTATAATTTTGAGTTTCCTACGTATGAATTAAAATTGTGGGGCTGGAGAGACAGATCAGAGCTTAATAACACTTAAACTCTTGCCCAAGACACAGCTTTAGTTCCTGAAAGTAACTCCAGTTTCAGAGGGATCTGGCACCCTCTTCTGGCTTCCTCAGGCACTAAACTAATGTGCATAAATGTACATGGAGGCGAGACACCTGTGCACATAAAACACCTGTGCACGTAAAACACCTGTGCACATAAAACACCTGTGCACATAAAACACCTGTGCACATAAAACACCTGTGCACATAAAACACATGTGGTTTTTCTTAGCCATCTCAAGTGATGAACAAAACCAAACTACTCTTCCCATCCTTCAGGGGAGTGGTTCTCAACATTTCTGAAGCTATGGCCCTTTAATACAGCTCCCTATGTTGTGGTGACCGCCCCCTCAACATAAAATTATTTTCATTGCTACTTCATAACTGTAATTTTGCTACTGTTAAAAATTGTATGCTGGGCGGTGGTGGTGCACACCTTTAATCCCAGCACTTGGGAGGCAGAGGCAGGCCGATTTCTGAGTTTGAAGCCAGCCTGGTCTACCGAGTGAGTTTCAGGACAGCCAGGGCTACACAGAGAAACCCTGTCTTGAAAAACAAAACAAAACAAAAACAAAAACAAAAAAAGCTTAGTAACTGAACTTTCAAAACTATGTTTGTTTGTTTGTTTGTTTGAGAAGGGTCTCCCTGGCTGGCCTGAAATTTGCTATGTAGACAGAGCTATGGAATTCACAGAGATCTCTTCACATCTGTCTTCTTAAAGATTATATTAAAGATGTATACTACCATACCTGGATCAAAATAGTCTTTTCAAAATAATTATCTCTTTGTTAATTTTCAAGTGTCTGGATGCTTAAGGAAGATTCTTTGAAGGCTGCTTCTGGAATTAAACAGCATGGATCCCAGCAGTGACTACCATTTCCTCAACCAGATTTTGTGGAGAAGGGTGAAGCTCACACTGGTGTCTGGCATCTTTGAGGGTGTGCTCCAGCATGTGGATCCTAACAAGATTGTTGTCCTGAAAAATGGTTTGACTCTATTCGTCATGTTCCCTTCCTCCTCCCTCAGATTAGTGGCTGAATGTAGGGGATGATTGTGGGCAGCGTAGAAGCTGGGAAAGTAGTGGTGTTCCTATTTAAACAAAGGCAGTAAAAGAACTTTAGACTGCTAGTCCCCAACAGAGCAACATGGCTGCCTGTATTGGTTGGTCCTCACTTGTGTATTTTCATTGGCATTATAGTGGAAAATGTCTTCCTTCGTTATTTATATATTTAATGTGTGTGGGTGTTTCATCTGCATGCCATGTGCATGCCTGCTGCCCTCAGAGGCCAGAAGAGGACGTAGGATCCTCAGGTACTAGAGTTGTTATATAGGTGCTAGGTATCAAACCCTGGTCCTCTAGAAGAACATTCAGTGCTCCTAAATGCTGAACACCTCTCCAGCCCTATGGTGATAATTTTTAATACATAGTTCTAAAAATTGGAGACTTTGGTTAATTTTTGTTTATATGAATATTAAAATTAATCTTGTTATTGAAATTGCTTTTGGCTTCAAAAGAGGGGGAAAAATCACTGTAAAGGATTAATTTGTCTCAGGCAAAAAGAAGTCCAGAAGTCAGGAATTCAGGGCCAGTCTCAACTATATAATGAGTTTGAGGCCAGCTTGGAATATATAAGAACCTGTGTCAGAAACCCAAAGGAAGGCTGGGGATGTAGCTCAGTTGGTAGAGTGCTTGCCTAACACACAGAAAGCTTGACGTTCAAGCTGCCGCACCACCTAGGCCAGGTGCAGTGGCATAGGTCTCTGATCCTAGCAGCTGGGTTTTTTTTTTCTTGACTCCTCCCTTCCCCCCGCCCCCCAGCTTTTGGTGGGTCTCATTGTATAGCCTTGGCTGGCCTGGAACTTACTATGTAGATCAAGCTGGCCTTGAACTCGAGAGATCTGCCTGGCTCTGCCTCCCTAGTGCTGAATTTAAAGGCCTGTGCCACCACACCTAGCTCTTTAAAAGTTTGTTTGTTTTTTTTTGTTTTTTGGTTTGTTTTTTTTTAGAACATTCTGAGGTTTATTCTTTTACTCAGTTGTACAGTATAGCTTTGTAATTTAACTGACTCTGCACTTCTTTGAGAAAGAAAGATTTTTATAAAACTCATATTTCAGTAATTTTAAGAGCCTTCAGAGTTTCTTACAGTTTTGGGAAAAATAGTATGTGTTATTAAACAGATGGGTTATTTTCCAGTGAAGAACGTAGAGTCAGGATGGAGTGTCCCAGGAGTGAAAATGTTTTACGGGCATGAGATTTTGAATGGTAAGTTTTGTGTTCCCTGGATGCCAAATGGAATCTGCCATGAGAAACCCACATCTCTACTTCATTCAGGTATCTGAAAGAAAATGGAATTTGTCTTGTCTTCAGTACTGTATATATGAACTTTTTTTTTTTTTGAGACAGGGTCATAGCATTCATGTATAAGAGCTTGGTATATAGATTTGGCTAGCCCCAAACACAGAGATCTTCCTGCCTCCACTCCCTGAGGGCTGAGACTAAAGCCATGTGCCATAGTCCCAGCTTGTATTTATGTAATTTTATTTAATTTTTAAAATTTCTATGTGTATGGGTGTTTTGCCTATGTTATATCTGTGTGTTGAATGTGTGAAGTACCCAAGGAGGCCAGAGGAAGGGTGTTGAGTCCCTAGGGACTGGAGTTATAGACAGTTGAGAACTGTCATTTGGGTGCTGAGAACTGAACCCAGGTCTATAAAATGCTTGCCCTGTAAACATGAGACCATGAGTTTGATTCTTAGACCTATGTAAAAACTGGGCTGGGGTAGTTTGTATTTATAATCCCTGCGCTGGAGAGGCAAAGACAGGCAGATCTCTGGGGCTTGCTGTACAGTGTGTCTAGTCTACAGGGCAGGAGAATCAGAAGTTCAAGGTCCTCCTACCACATAGGAAGTTTGAGGACTGTCTTGGTTCCATGAAACTCTGATTCAAAAAACAGACAAAAGTGTATCTTAGACTTAGTGTAATTCATATTCTGCACAATTAGATTAAAAATCATTGCATCCTAAAAAAAAATCATTGCTTCCAGCCAGGCACTGGTGGCACGTGCCTTTAATCTCAGCACTCTAGATGCAGAGGCAAGCAGATCTCTTGAGCCCAGCCTCATCTACAGAGTAAGTTTCAGGACAGCCAGGGCTACACAGAGAAACCCTGCCTCAAAAAAACAGGACAGCACAGCAGCAACAACAACAAATTGATTTTAAAATCTCTGTGTAATATCCTCTCACAGTTCTTTTGGGATTTCTGCCCTACCTGTCATTATCTTTTATGGAATCAAAGTATAGATCCAACAGCCTGTAAGTGTATCAGTAATTATCTATGGCTGAAATGCACTAATGAAATGTAATAATGTAGGGACCAGATACCCACCCCTCTGGCTCCTTGAGGATATGTGCCCTTTTGCATACATATACACATATATCACCACATATAAACATACCCCCTACACACACACCTTTGATGCCTTTGATCCCAGCAAATGGGACACAGAAATAGAGGCAAGCAGGTTTCTGTGAGTCCTGCCAGGTGTATGTGATAGAGATCCTGTCTCAAAAATAACAAAAATATGAATAAAAAAGAACCTATAGAATCTGTGAAAATAACACATCGGCACCATAGAGCTTAAAACAAACAAACAAACAAACAAACAGAAAAGAGTAGAGAGAAGTTCCCGATCCTTCTGCGTGTCCAGGAACCTGAGGACCTGAGGACACAGAGTTGGGAATCTGTAGGCTTTAAACCCCAATTTGTCTATCTGTTACTGGCCACTAAAGGGCTCTGTGACTAATGGTTCTCTTTCTTTCTTTCTTTCTTTCTTTCTTTCTTTCTTTCTTTCTTTCTTTTTTTTTTCTTTCTTCCTTCCTTCCTTTCTCCCTCCCTCCCTCCCTTCCCCCTCCCTCCCTCTCTCTCTCTCTTTCTTTCTTTCTTTCTTTTTTTTTTTTTCGAGAAAGGGTTTCTCTGTGTAGCCCTGGCTGTCCTGGAACTCTCTCTGTAGACCAGACTGGCCTCAAACTCAGAAATCTGCCTGCATCTGCCTCCCAAGTGCTGGGATTAAAGGCGTGCACCACCACCGCCCAGCCTTTTTTTTTTTTTTTTTTTTTTTAATGGTTCACTTTCAATCCCTGTCTATAGCATTCGGTTGAGCATGGTGTATGGGATGGAGTGGCTATGGCTTTCCACCTGGAAACTGTTGAAAATCTTTGGGTTGTTTTTCAGTGGAACTAATGGATGAAGCAGAAGGTGCATCGGGAGAAAAGGCATACTCCGTTAGGTATGAGTTTTCTTCACTCTGACGTTTTTCAAGTGAGCACATTAGAGAAAAAAGACGGAGCTCCAGCTGCTTACTTCTCAAGTGGGCTAAGGAAATAAGAACAAGCAGGCCAGTGTGGCCATGTCTAGACAGCATGCAAGCCAAGACTGCAGGCAGCACAGAGATGGGCTGCAGTCCTCACTGTTAACAAGTAGGGAGATGGCACCAGTAACAAAGGACAGTCCACCTGAATATGATCTTTTTGTAAGGACAGCATAAATACAGAGCGAGCTGGAACGGAGAAAGTGAACAATGAAGACATGAATGTCTTTGTACCTGCTTCACCTGCTTCACCAGAGGTGCCAGCCAGCTCCCTCCTCAGTGACCTCAAGTACTGCCCGTCAGGTGAGTGCTCGGACTCTGAGCGTGCCAGAATAGTTTTATTGTGGCTCACAATAAAAACTGTGAATTAAGATAAGTATTATAAAGTACGTGTTTAGTTGACATGGGTGTGCATACTGTGTGCCGGGACTGGGGTACTGCCCGAATTGAGCTCTGTACAAGAGAGCTTAAGTGAAGGAGTGGGAAATCGGTGTGGTGCTGCAGCTTCTGTGATCCACCCACCAGCAGTGGAAGCAAAGGATCAAGAGTTCAAGGACAGCCATGGCTACATTGCTGGTTTTAGGATAGCCTAGAGTAAGTTCAAGGATAGCCATGGCTACATAGCAGGTTTGAGGATAGCTTAGGATATATGAGACCCTGTCTCAAAAAAAAAAAAAAAAAAAAAAAGAAGAAGAAGGAGGAGGAAGAAGAGGAAAAGAAAAAGAAAAATATGAGTAAAATATGAGTTACTACCAAAAGCTGAGAAATAGCAGGACAGTAAACACATGGATCATGTGCCTTCAAAGTTTTTGAGTGTCTTGGGCAGGAATTACAGAAGTAGTAACATGCATAAAATCCTAAAGGAGGGAAAGCAAGGAGCTGTTTGGATGTCCTGAGAAATGCTGTTTGTTTGTTTGGAGTCACAGTCTCGTCCTGACTAGAGCTGACTGCTGTGCTACTTTTTTGTAGTCCAAACTGGGTTCAAGTTCCTAGTGACAGGATTCAAAAAAGTGCCACCTCTCCAGGTTCTTGTGGTTGTTTGGTTGTTTTTGTTTTGTTTGAGATAAGGTTTCACTGTGTTGCTCTAGATGTCCTGGAACTCCCTCCTGTAGACCATGCTGGCCTTGAACTCCCAGAGATCCACCTGCCACCATGCCCAATTTTAAATTGGTTTGATTTTGCTGTTTTGTAATAGAGTCTCACTCCTATAGCCCAGAATTCATTCAGTGGCTAGGGTTGGGCTCAGATTCTCAGCAGTCATGCCTAGAACCCTTAAGGGCTGAGATTACAAGCATGAGACACAGCATCTGCTGAGAAATATGTTTAAAACTGAGAAAAGAAAAAGGGTAAAGACTCTGAGGAAGATCTCAAAGCATCAGTTAGGAAATCATTACACCTAGAGCAGAGAAAGAAGGTGTAGGCAATGAGGTGGGATTGGTGGTTACAAGAGTTTATAGATCCTTAAAGGGACGGGGACTCTGAAGGGAGAAAGGAGGTAAAGCATGGAAGAGCTTTTTTTTTTTGGTTTTGGTTTTTCATTAAAAAATAAAAAAGTAAGCTGGGTGGTGGTGGCTCACGCCTTTAATCCCAGCACTTGGGAGGCAGAGGCAGGCGGATTTCTGAGTTTGAGGCCAGCCTGGTCTACAGAGTGAGTTCCAGGACAGCCAGGGCGACACAGAAACCCTGTCTTGAAAAACCAAAAAAAAAAAAAAAATAATAATAAAAAAATAAAAAGTAAAGTGTTTGGTGGTGTACATCTGTAATCCCATTTCTAAGAGACTCTGATGCAGAAGGATCTTGAGACTGATATCAGCCTGGGCTACAAAGAGACTATTTTTTTGTTTTCAAAACAAAAACAACAACCACCAACAAACAGCACAAAGAAAGAAATCTAGACAGCTTTGTGAAGAGATTATATTTTTTTAGAGGGAATATCATTATAATATAGGTACTTAGAACAAGACAAAGACATGGGTAAATAGGAGGATATTAAAATAATCTCGCTTTTTGTCTCAAATTTACAGTACTCATTGCCTCATCATCTTGATAGTTAGGATCATAGGCGTATGTAGCCCTGACTGTCCTGGAATTCGATCTGTAGCCCAGGCTGGCCTTGAATTTACAGAGATCAGCTTGCTTCTGCCTCCATGTGCTGGGGTTAAAGGTGTGCCCCACCACCCTGTCTTGGTGGTTTTTTAAATTTCAACTGTATTTATTTGTGTGGCAATGTATGTATGTGTGTGTCATCAGGTGCATGAGGTGGTTCAAGAGCCAATTCTAGAGAATGACAGCAATAGTTGGATAGGAAGCACTGTGCCCAGAGTGTGGTAAAGGTGGGGCACATGTAGTGCCTAACAAATTAGATAGATGGGGGGAGAGGAAAAAGAAGAATCCAGCATGATTTTAGGGCAAGTATGGAGCTGTGTAAACTAAAAAGAGAAAAACTTCTTAGAAGTAGAATGTAAAAAGGTTTTGGAGGAGCTGGTGAGATGGCTCAGCAGTTAAGAGCACTGACTGCTCTTCCAGAGGTCCTGAGTTCAATCCCCAGCAACCACATGGTGGCTCACAGTCATCTGTAGTGGGATCTGGTGCCCTCTTCTGGTGTGTCTGAAAATAGCTACACTGTACTCACATACATAAAAGAAAAGGTTTTGGAGACCTGAACAGTTTTGTGTATTAGTCAGTATTCTCTAGAGGAGAGAGAGAGGGGTGGGAGGGGGAGGGGGAGGGAGGGAGGGAGGGAGGGAGGGAA